ATAGATATGGGAGTAAGAAACGTGATCGTTAAGGGCGATTCTCAATTGGTGATAAATGAATTGTTTGGTGATTTTAAATGCCAAAGTGATTCCATTATAAGTCAATATGAGATCGCCCAAGAATTATTAGAGGAATTCGATCAAGTAGAACTTCAATGCGTTAATAGGATATATAACGACGTGGCGAATGAGTTGGCCCAAATGGCTTCAGGGTACTCTAAAATCTTGGATTGGAAGTCTACTTGTGAATACGGAATCATATTGCCTGTAACTCAAAGAAGGGCGAGAAAAATTAAACTTCACTGTATACAAGATAGAGATGCAGTGGATTGGCGAACAAAGATTAAAGGGTTCCTTCAAGAACCTAATGGAGGGATTAGTAGGAAAACAAAGTTATGTTCGCTGAATTACACACTAATAGACGAAGAGTTATTTAAGAAACGCCCTGATGGTGTATTACTAAAGTGTGTAAGTTTGCAAGAAGCCAAGACGATCATGGCTGAAGTGCACGAAGGGATATGTGGAGCTCATCAAGCTGGCCAAAGGATGAGATGGTTAATTATTAGGAGTGGATATTTTTGGCCAAAGATGGGAGAACTATGCGTTCAGTACGCAAAAAGTTGTTTAACATGCCAAAAGCATGGTCCAATACAAAGGGCGCCAGCGCGAGAGATGGCACCTATTATTAAACCTTGGCTGTTCAAAGGTTGGGCGATAGATCTAATAGGGAAGATTTACCCTCCATCGTCCAAGCAACATACTTTTGTTATAGTTGCAACCGACTATTTCACTAAATGGGTAGAAGCAGTACCTTTAAAAGAGATCACCCAGAAGAATGTTATAGAGTTTATTCGTGATCACATTATTTATAGGTTTGGAATTCCACAAACTATAATGGTAGATCACGGAACATCTTTGAATGGTGATCAAGTAAACAAATTTTTGAACGAGTTTGGGGTTAAATTAGTAAACTCCACACCGTACTACGCTCAATCCAACGGACAAGCAGAATCCTCCAACAAGATTCTAAAAAATATCATCAGGAAGATGATAGACGAAAATGCCAGAAATTGGCACGAATGTTTGAATAAGGCTTTATGGGCTTATAAAACATCACCTCGGTCAAGTACCAAAATTACTCATTTCCAACTTGTTTATGGACAGGAGGCCGTTTTACCTATGAAAATCAACGTGCAATTAATTCGAGTGTGCTTACAACATAAGTTGAATGATGATGAGTATGCCGAATCGCTAGTTCAAAATTTATTAAGTTTAGATGAATTGAAGTTGGACGTCTTGGATAGGTTGCAAGTTCAAAAGCAAAGAATGGCTAAATTTTATAATAAAAAAGTCATAGCCAAATCGTTCAGCCTGGGTGAACTAGTTTGGAAGACAATGCTCCCTTTGGATACCAAGGATCCAAAGTACGGGAAATGGTCGCCCAACTGGGAAGGACCATACAAAATAAACAATGTATTGCCTAATGAAGCATACCACTTGGAAGATTTAGATGGCACCAAGCACGTAAGATTCATTAATAGCAAGTATTTGAAAAAATATGTTCCTTCTTTATGGGAATGCGAACAGATAAAAACATAACCGAACATTCTGGACGATCAAAAATAATAAAGACAGAGCGAAATACGTTCGAATAAAGTTCTTTACTATTAAACGTTCATTACAAGAATACAAAAGATACAAATGATGGACGTGCTACAAAGATCCCCAAATCAGATAGCCCAAAGAACGAAATCCAATTAAACGAATCAAGGTGGATGCCCAAATAAGGGGCCCAATAGTGCGGTAACGCCATCGCCCAAGTTTGCAAGTCGCTCAGAATCTGAACGAATAGAGTGGCATACGGTCGCCCAGAGTCTTGCCCCAAATCTTCAAGTCGCCCAAGGTATCAACAAACATAATGCATTATGATTATCAAGAAATGCAGTTATTGATGCAGTTGCTAAAGTAACCTTATCACGTTCCACGACTCAAAGGATTCAATCGAAAGCGGTTGAACGATGCAAGATAATGGCAGCAGTTAAAAGGACAGTTTCATGACAAAATGGTCACTACAAAGAAAGTGGGTAGTTATAGGGCGATCAAGCAGTTTTCTTAGAGCAGTTAATCACAAAGTGATTGCCTATGAAGTATAAAAGGGAGAAAGAACTTAGAAGCAAAGGACGGAATCCAAAACTCTCGAACAGAGAATATGTAATTTTCATTCCTTTAGTTTTTAGACTTAAACACTTCCTTTTCTGTAACTCGTGTGCTTACGCCCTTTGGAGGCACGTTATTTTCCGTTTCTAATTGTAAAGTTTATCGCCAATAAAAAGAACACCCCTTTTTGGGACTTTGTCTCAAGAGGTTTCGTCCCTTACACAATCGTCTGATCCTCTTTAATTGTTAGCGAATTAACACGCGTGAAACAGAAGTAAAACATTTGAGGATCATGAGACAATTTAATAGGATATTTCGACAATATTATCATTAAAATTTGAAACTAACTATGCAACTATGATAAAGAGTTGATGATCAAATTGTCACTCGTAATAATATATTAAGAACTAAGTATGAAACTTTTCGTCGCATATTTCATTATCTTTGACCCTTAATAATGAGATATAATATCACATAAGCTCTCACCAATTAAAATTTTATAATGTATAGATTTTTTTTGTTAAAAATGGTAACAAGTGACAAATTTGCTTGATTTCACAAATCGTCAAATCTTTTCTCAAATACATTTCATTTATTTAATTACTCTTTAAGAAACCTACGTACTTTAATAATTGGCATGGTTTGAAGTAGTGACAAAAAACCATCTCATTTCTTGGAATTGAAAGAGAGTCGACTCTACTCCTTTTAATAATTAGCATGCTACTTTAATCTCACGTTAGATGGACCATTGCACGATGATTAATCTAACCTTATTTCAGAAATGGTTTATAGTCCAACCCCAAACACAATTTAGTGATTTAACCACAAATCCCATTAAAGGGCATTTCAAATTTAATAATGCCCACAAAATCTTAGTGGCATTAATGTGTTTATTTCCAATTTGAAGGGCTCTTTCTTCCATTGAAATGTCATATCAGTCACTATATATTTAGCGATATTTCAATTGGGTCATTGAACTCTTACTTAGTTTCAAATTTCACAATTCTGTCACATTCCATCACCTACTATCACGAAATGACAAAATGTTTACTTGACCGTCATTCCATGTAATCTTTACGAGTCGCCATATAAACAAAATATTAAAATGGGGTTATGGCAACATTATTAAAGTTAAATGTTATAAGGCATGTTTATTTTTACACTTTTATGTCGTGCATGAAGTGATAAATTAATAAGTCATTTAACAATTACATGAAAGAATCTCTGCAGCATGTCTATCAATTAAGCAATTTTTATCAAGTTCGATATGTGAAAGACTTTATATTCCATCATTCTTTCTAAAGCGATGTAAAGCACAATCACAACTATCAATCTTGACTAAACTATTGGATCCTAATTTGGTTTGTGATCGATAAACAATACATTAGCCAATTTAAAGGGCTTTTTTTTTATTCATTTCTACTTCTATACACCTGCAAAATCTCAGTGGGGATTAATGTGTTTATCTCCAATTTAAAGGGCTCTTTTTTATTCATTCTTTTTATAATAAAATTTCGGCTGGTATGTTCTCTTTCTCTTTGGCAGAGTGGTCTGTGTCCCTATCCCTTCCTTCTCTCTCTTTCTCTGTGTAAGCAGTGCCTTTCGAGTTCAGTAACAATACTGATAGATTGAGGATTCTTCAAACTTAAGGTTGGTCTGACAACTTACTGAAATGATATTCTCTTATGAAATTCATGTATCTTCTAAATCCCATCTGCTATATGATAAGAAAAATCTATGATTTTTTTTTTTTTTTCACTATGCTTCTGTTTCTATCCATTTTTTTTTCTTTTTTAGGTTTAATCGGAGCTCTTGAGTTAAAGTTCATAATTGCTATGAGCTTAACGGAAATGGGTCGGTCTTAGATCTTTAAAAGGTGGGGGATTATGTACTCTACTCAATATTGAGAAATTTGAGACATTATGATTTATGGGTTTCATTTAGGATTCTTTTACTAATTTAAGTAATTTTACAGAAAATAAGTTGTAATTAGATTTATTTTGGGTTAATCCAAGAGTTAGTGTACAAATCCATGTTCTACTGCTTCGTCAATTGTCTCGTACATTTGGGGATCATTTTTTTTGTTCGGGGAATAATCTTATGATCCTGTTATTTTGATTAAGAGAAGTTCAGTAGATTTCTCGTAGTAGAAATTTTTTTGTTTAACTTGTATGATATTTATGATTTAGAGAATTGATAATAGTTTTGTTTGTTTTAACAGCAGATTTAGGAAATTCTGTACTTTATAATGTGAAACTGTGATTGCGATATGAGTTAGCAGTTTCGGGATGCGTATTAAGCTTTGTATTTGCTGTTAAATTAATAAATGAAAGAGAGTTCAATTTTTTTTGCTGTTTTTCCTTTTTCAAAAATTCCAAAAATTTTTTTTTTTTTTTTTCCCCTTTTAGAAGTTTTCTTATTTTCTTGGTACTGCAGATTCTCAAGAAAAATTGAAGACCCCCTTCATGAAAGCATCCGCGGGTATCTAGACATGTTAGAAGCCAATCAGAAAGCATAGTGAGAAAAAGCCGACATTTTCAATTCAATGCAAGCATCACGAAGTCAAAACAGATCGAGGATGTCCAACACCTTGCAATATCAGCCCGTACAAAAGTTGGGGGCATGTTTTCCGCCGTTTCAACATTTTGGCGAAGACTTAAGCTACAATAACCGTAGCAATGTTGGAAACAGTTGCTCGATTCAGATCTCTAATGACCAATATTGCACGCTAGAGTCATCCCCAATGAGTGTTAATTACACTGTCTATAACTCGCCATCTAATGTCATTTTCTCACCTGGCAGGAGTCCTGTGTCCCAGAAAGATTCTCAGTCGTGCCCAACCGAGCCATGTCTATCTCCGGATACTAACTATGGCTCCTCTATAAGTGAATCTTGCATAACTGAGGATGCGAATGACTTCAGGCACAAACTAAAAGAACTCGAGACTGTAATGTTGGGACCTGATCTTGACATCCTCGCAATTTACAATAATAGCTTACCAAGCAATATTATATCGACACCAGATATAGACAATTGGAGACAAATGATGGAGGCCATTCCCAGAGGGGACTTGAAGAAGGTACTAATTGCTTGTGCAAAAGCAGTGTCGAATAATGATTTGTTGATGGCACAATGGCTAATATCCGAGTTGCGTCAACTAGTGTCTGTTTCTGGTGAACCGATACAGCGTTTGGGAGCTTACATGTTGGAGGGGCTTGTTGCTAGGCTGGCTTCTTCGGGGAGTTCCATTTATAAATCTCTAAGATGCAAAGAACCTGCGAGTTTTGAGCTACTATCTTATATGCAGATTCTCTATGAGGCCTGCCCGTACTTCAAGTTTGGATATATGTCTGCAAATGGTGCCATTGCCGAAGCTATGAAGGATGAAAGTAAAGTGCACATAATTGATTTCCAGATTGGACAAGGAAGCCAATGGATATCTCTAATCCAAGCTTTTGCAGCTCGTCCTGGAGGGCCACCTCAAATTCGGATTACTGGTATCGATGATTCCTCATCAGCTTATGCACGTGGAGGAGGACCGAATATTGTGGGACGGAAGCTATCTAAGCTCGCTAAAACTTTCAAAGTGCCTTTCGAATTCCATTTTGCAAACATGTCCGGATGTGATGCTCAGCTTGAAAATCTTGGAATTCAACCTGGTGAGGCATTGGCTGTTAATTTTGCGTTCATGTTGCATCACATGCCGGATGAAAGTGTCAGTACCGAAAATCATCGAGACATGCTATTGAGGTTGGTCAAAAGCCTAAATCCCAAAGTTGTGACATTAGTTGAACAGGAATCCAATACAAATACTGCTGCATTTTTTCCTAGGTTCCTAGAAGCATTGGACTATTATACGGCCATGTTTGAATCAATTGATGCAACTCTCCCCAGGGAACGCAAGGAGCGAATCAACGTCGAGCAACATTGTTTAGCAAGGGATGTCGTTAACATTATAGCATGTGAGGGAATGGAGAGAGTGGAACGGCATGAGCTTCTTGGGAAATGGAAGTCGCGGTTCAAAATGGCTGGTTTTAGTCCGTACCCCTTGAGTTCTTTGGTAAATGCTACAATCAAGACGTTGCTCAAAAACTACTGCACTAAATATAGGCTTGTAGAAAGAGATGGAGCTCTATATCTTGGTTGGTTGAATAGAGATTTGGTTGCTTCTTGTGCGTGGAAGTAAAATTCGTGCAGTGATCATCCATGGAATGAGGTTACAAGCAAAATCAGATTTGTATTTTCTGTTTTCCCCTTGTTTACTGGAATACAAGTGTACAAGATGTAGAGCCTATGTTGAAGAAAGCTCAATGTTTGAACAAAATGCAGTGCTCTACCTTTGATGTAATTTGTAACTTGGGTCTTTTTTCTTTTAAAAAAGAAAAAAATAATAAAAATAAATAAATAATAAAATAAAATAATATTCTATCAGCACTTGGTTCATCAAAGAGGTTTAGCAGAAGAAAAATCGAATAACGAACAAGTATTTTTCCACATTAATTTGGAGTCAATTGCATTAATTCTTCTGTGCCAACCTGAATGAAGTAGCCTAGCCGTTTTTTGGTTCATAATTGTTCTAATTAAAATATAAATGGCACACATCTTCTACTTTTGATCCAGATCAAGCCTTGGAATTAGCTCATTATCTCCTATTCAAACGACGTGATACTTGGAAGTTATTAAAGCCTTTTGGAAAATGAAATAACAGATAGAAGCCAACTATGGACGTTCCGTTACTTGTTTTTCACTAGAATAATTTTTACAACAATCGTAAGTTTCCATTCTCTGACCAATAAAGTTTTAAACCAATGTTTAGGTACAATCATTCCTCTCATAACAGGGCAGGAAAATCTCAACCACCCCACTGGAAGATAATAAGAAAATATTTAAAACAAGAAAAAAAATAGTAGATTCATTCTGTTGCAGCTAATCTAACCCCCTGCTGCCGAAAATATTATGAGTTTGCACTAATATGAACAACCATGTCTAAGCCAACAGGTTTATTTTCTCCGAGTGTTAATCTGGATTCACCATTTAAAGACAAAGTAGTGTCGCTTCCAGCAGTATTTTTGCAGACGGTCTTAGATGGAGGCGTACCATGGTCGTGCTGTCCTTCATATGTTGTAATAACCATCTTTTGATCATGAGAAGCTCTTTCCACATGTTTCTTAACTGGACAACCAGTATGTGTGCACCTATAGTAACTCCTTCATAACATAAAGAGTGGGGATTAGAGCAACAAGGGTAGTTATGTTGAAGTAGATTATACCAAAGTAAAATAACTATAGGATTTCCTGCCCTGGTGGAATGGTTGTGTATATTGGGCAATCAATATTAGCAGTAGAAAAATGAACCACAACTGAGTTGATCACGAATAGGAAGATTCACAACATTATCATTAGAACTATAATATGCCAAGTTCTCAAAGATCTTCAAAGTAACATAATATGCCATATGGGATTGAATGACCATATTGTTGTTTGGAAAAAATCCTCTTTCTTAAAATAAATTTATTAAAGTCCATGATGTAACATACGAAAAATCTAAGCAACTACTTTTGAGGGTAAAAATGAATAAAACTGTCCCAAACACTCATTTTTCCAACTCACTAGAACTATTTGCAACTTGCAAGCATTGGATTTAATATAAGGCAAGTTATGATACCTTATTGACATTTGAATATTGCCATTTACAAACTTAAAGAAGCACAGTGATAATTTTATGCCAAGTAGCTAGCAAACTTTGAGGTCTGAGAATAAGTAAAATCCATTATAAACTTTCCTAATTTCATAATGAAGTTTAGAGATACTAAACTGTAGTGCAAACCATTCCATGCTTCGAACAGGAAAAGGAGAAACAAAATAAATATGGACAATCCTACTGGCTGAGACCTATTTACCTTCCTCTGGAATCATCATTCATCACTTGGCTTGGGTGTAAGGATTGTCAGGACTAAAAAGAAGAGCCCAAATTGAGAAGCATCATATATTATGTAAGCGGTGACAGATGTAGGTTGTCAGTAGAATTCAAAAGGTAGTTCAAATGAATGTATAAAAATCTTGAGTGATGACATATAAAATGAGTACGTTGGCTTCAAGATGTAAACTTCTTATTTCATAATAAAATTGTAGTTTAATATATTACTCATCACAAAAATGATTTTGAGTCTTTTGAAAGCAGCCTCTCTAATGTCAGCTTGTTGCACCATAATATCATCTTGGTGATGTTATAGAAGGCAGGCATTAACAAGCTAATAGAATAAGTACCATGTAGCAAACAATAGTCATTCTGCATTATTGAAAATTATATTACCTTGGGTTTGGATTGCCTTTAATAAATTTCTGCCCATATTTTCGCCAGCGGTAGCCGTCATTCACTACATCAATCTCACTAATAGTGTGAACAACATGCCTGGATTCGCAATTGGGTTTATTCAGATTATCATCAATACCAGAAATCTCTCTCTTCCTGCAAAGGCATTAGTCCAATGACAAAAATGTTACCCCATAAGGTTACTAATTAAAAAACATGGAAAGCATCAGGTTGAACATACTGTCGTTTCGAGTCTCGACAGCTATCATTTTCATCACAGATTTTAGTGCTTGACCGTGAAACTGTGCACGCCTCCCCATCACCAGTTGCTGCCACAGGCAATCGCTGTGAGGTCTCCGTTGGTTCCATATGTTGAGATGCATCGCCAGGTGCAAATGGCTCAGCAACACCTGAGAGGTCAGTAAATAAGTCAATATTAGTTTCAAATGTCAAAATAGTCAAAGCTGAAATTTAGGAAGTATCAAATTTACCTTCTGAGGCTGGTCTTCGCACTAGATGACCAGTGGCCACACAGGGACTGTGTTGTGGTTTAGGATGTTCATGATTCCCAAGGAAATTAACGTCTTTTAGATTACCATCATGTGATCTCTCCACTTGCTTTTTCGCAAGGCAATTAGGGTAAGTACACTTGTAGTAACTTCGAACAAATTCGTTTCCTTTTACAATCTTTTGCCCATATTTTCTCCAGTTGTAGCCATCATCTACTGCTTTTTCTGGTACTTTTGAGGGATTGCTTTCTGGATCAGATTGCGATCCTTGAATTACAGGGTCAGGGTTCCTTCTCTGCAGCAATTTATCTGCTTTCTCAGGTCTTGTAGAGAATGAAAAATGCTGTTGATCAGAATGTGATGCAGGCCCCCCAAGTTCCGAACATGGTATTTGTGGAAAATTATCTGCGACCATTTCGCTTTTTATAGAAACAGATTTTTCTTCATTGCTAATCGACCCATGGTATCCAGCACTCAAGCATTGTTTAGACTGTAGATTATTGGATTCTTGTTTTGGTATAACAGACACTTTATCAGAGACACTAGAGAGAATGCTTCCTTGATCAGATTGTGAACCACAGGCTACAATGTCAAGGTTTCGCCTTGGCAGCAGTTTCGCGGGAGCTTTCTCTGGTATAGTAGAATAATTTGATTTCTGCTGGCGATATTGTGATGCAGGTATGTCAGATATGAAACTTGGTACTGGTAACACAACATCTGAAGCCTTCTCCTTTTTGACAGTAACAATTCTTTCTTCCCTCAATTCTGACTTTTGCAGTACATCATCAGGGCTCTGTCTCGGCTGCAAATCATCAAGTGTTTTGGGGATTATAGGTATTCCATAGGGAATACTTTTTTGTCCTGATTGTAACTTATGAACTACAGTGTCAGGGTTCCGCCTTGGCTGCAATTTCTGCATAGCTTTATCTGATCTTGTAAAATAAATGTCTTGGTCAAGATCATATTGGTTCTCTGGATTTGAACATTTTATTTCCACCACAATATCAGAAGTGCTCTCCCTTTTAATAAACAGAGCTCTCTCCGCTTCGCATAATTCTGATTCATCACATCCAGCATCAGTATTTTGTCTCTGCAGCAAATCATTTGATTCTTGTTTGGGTGTTACATATGATTGAGATGTCGGGTTACTATTTTCTGGATTCTGCTTCAGCAAGATATCACCTGGTTCTTTCTCACGCATTGGGCAGAGAGAGTTTTCTATTTGACTAGATTGTAACAATTGAATGCCAGTAGGTTGGTTTTGTCTCTGCTGCACGTCGCTAGACATTTTCTCTCAAATTGGGGATGGGGGTGCACCCTTCTCTTGATAAGACTGCTGTATCTGACTTCAACTTAGTGTTCAGTCTCTTCTGCAGTTTGTCTGACACTCATGAAGCACTCCAGATATATAGCAATCTTTCAAATTGAACTCTACTTCATGAAATCCATTGTCAGGATCCTGTTTCTACTGCAATTTTGGAATAAACACCATCGAACAATGTCTTCCTTGTGTACCGAGAGAGACAGTAAAAAGGAAAAAAATACTGTCAATACATCCGTAAAAAATGATCTCCATGCTTCAAAATGATAGTCAAAAGGAAAACAATGAAGCCAAAACGCATGTCAACATGAATTAATCCACAATATTACTGGTCATTGAATCTACTTAATCCTAAGAGAAACAGGAGGTGAGGATTGATCTCCAAAGCTAACAAACTACTGGACATTGCAATAATTCTATTTTTTTATGACCGTGATTGTTCGGACCGGCTTACGCACACCTCGACCAATCCCCTGAGGCCCTAAAGTTTACACTCAGGTACTCACCTCAGTAGCTCTGAGGGGACTTGAAATATTGCAATAATTCTAATGATAGGAGATATTCAATAGTCAGGTAATTACGTGAAAACAAGCAAAAAATTATTGAATTTTTTTTCATGGAAAATGGGGAAAATTGTCTATCATTAAACCAACATCGGAAAAGTAGGGATGGCAATGGGGCCAGGCTGGGTGACCTAGTCCGAACTGGATCAGTATTTCCTGCTTAACCAGGTCAGCGGGGCAAGACAGGGCAAGAAAATTTTCCCTGGGCCGGGGAGAAGGATCATGGTCCCCACCCCGTTTAACTTTTATTTTATAAAAAAATTACCCAACACAGAAACAAAGAGGATTAAATCAGTAAGTCACCAAGGAACGTATTGAGGAAACCAATTTTCAAATTTGTCAAAACCTAAGCAGACTCTCACATTGCACCTAATCTGTAATCTCACTCTCAGAATCTCGCAAACACAATCAGCTCAGACGACCACCACTCTCCTCTCTTTTCCAGCCCATCTCTCTCATATTTATTTATAAAATGTTTTTAGATCAACAAGCTCCCCATAAGAACTAGCTCTTTCTTTTTCTGTCTGAAATTCAGCACTATTTGTCTTGCAAAAAGTGTGGTCCGTCCAGTGTGTTTATAAGGGATTGTTTCAATTGTTTTGTGAGCTTAATCAAGTTTATGTTTAATGCCCAGTTGCTATTTTCAGTTTTCTTGCGTACCTAGTTGTTCCCAGATTGTGCTTTATTCATACTTAGAGTAATTCTTGATAGTAAGTTTCTTTCAGGTACAAAGATATAACTTCTTGCAGTTAGTGTATGTGTTATGAATTAAAATCATATTTAAAACAAAATAAAATATAAACACGGTGCCAAATGGGGAATGGAGGACCTCAACCCAGTCCAGCCCAGCCCTGTCCCTACCTAAGCAGGGATGGGGAAGAGAAATCCCCTGGCAGGCTAGGGGACGTGGAGGGCATCCCTGGCCCTGCTCTTCCTCATTACCATTCCTGTCGGAAGTACAAAAATCAAAAGAAGCACTATAAACGCCTTGGCAGAATATTCACATTTTAAGTAGATATAGACAATATATGAATGCATAGCCTGTCTAAGGCTAGAAAGGAGAGAGGGGGGTGGGGGGGTGAAATGAAATAGTAAGGGAAGAGAAAACGTCACCGCAACAGAAGTACTGATAAAGCGTATAACTAGCTGGTTATATTTTATATAACAAGGAGGAAACTGAAGTAACAAAGGGTTAACAATTATGCTCTAGAGAGATGAACTGCAAATTAATTAAGAGACCAAGAAGTGACAGCATTTTAATTCAATGTAATCCAATAATGTCAGAAACTAAACCCAATTACTACTCTGCAAAAAATTTAGATCATATTCTATACTATTATGTATATGGAAGGCATAAAAACTTAAAAGTTATCAACATTCATAGAGGTTGTACAAGCCATAGTGCATAAAAATTGGATTTTTCTCAGTGATGTCTTCTAGAATGAGATCAAGTGAATAAGAGAGAAGTAGAACAATTACGAAGGCAGAGCTTCTAGTGTGACCATCAATGTAAATAAACACTAACGGGAAAAGGTGGTAAGCTAATTTCCATTTTCAATAGAAATCATTTGATTCTTGTTTGGGTGTTACATATGATTGAGATGTCGGGTTACTATTTTCTGGATTCTGCTTCAGCAAGATATCACCTGGTTCTTTCTCACGCATTGGGCAGAGAGAGTTTTCTATTTGACTAGATTGTAACAATTGAATGCCAGTAGGTTGGTTTTGTCTCTGCTGCACGTCGCTAGACATTTCATAAACCCTAGCCATAGCTGGTTCACCTTTCAATTCCAAACAGCAGGAGAAATAACCAGAAAATCATAAACCCAACTGAAAACAGAAAAACCCTGAACAGAGAAATCAATTACCTTACCTTTTTCCAATTCTGGACAATTTTAGAATAATCAGAGGTTGTAACAATTGAATGCCAGTAGGTTGGTTTTGTCTCTGCTGCACGTCGCTAGACATTTTCTCTCAAATTGGGGATGGGGGTGCACCCTTCTCTTGATAAGACTGCTGTATCTGACTTCAACTTAGTGTTCAGTCTCTTCTGCAGTTTGTCTGGCACTCATGAAGCACTCCAGATATATAGCAATCTTTGAACTCTACTTCATGAAATCCATTGTCAGGATCCTGTTTCTACTGCAATTTTGGAATAAACACCATCGAACAATGTCTTCCTTGTGTACCGAGAGAGACAGTAAAAAGGAAAAAAATACTGTCAATACATCCGTAAAAAATGATCTCCATGCTTCAAAATGATAGTCAAAAGGAAAACAATGAAGCCAAAACGCATGTCAACATGAATTAATCCACAATATTACTGGTCATTGAATCTACTTAATCCTAAGAGAAACAGGAGGTGAGGATTGATCTCCAAAGCTAACAAACTACTGGACATTGCAATAATTCTATTTTTTTATGACCGTGATTGTTCGGACCGGCTTACGCACACCTCGACCAATCCCCTGAGGCCCTAAAGTTTACACTCAGGTACTCACATCAGTAGCTCTGAGGGGACTTGAAATATTGCAATAATTCTAATGATAGGAGATATTCAATAGTCAGGTAATTACGTGAAAACAAGCAAAAAATTATTGAATTTTTTTTCATGGAAAATGGGGAAAATTGTCTATCATTAAACCAACATCGGAAAAGTAGGGATGGCAATGGGGCCAGGCTGGGTGACCTAGTCCGAACTGGATCAGTATTTCCTGCTTAACCAGGTCAGCGGGGCAAGACAGGGCAAGAAAATTTTCCCTGGGCCGGGGAGAAGGATCATGGTCCCCACCCCGTTTAACTTTTATTTTATAAAAAAATTACCCAACACAGAAACAAAGAGGATTAAATCAGTAAGTCACCAAGGAACGTATTGAGGAAACCAATTTTCAAATTTGTCAAAACCTAAGCAGACTCTCACATTGCACCTAATCTGTAATCTCACTCTCAGAATCTCGCAAACACAATCAGCTCAGACGACCACCACTCTCCTCTCTTTTCCAGCCCATCTCTCTCATATTTATTTATAAAATGTTTTTAGATCAACAAGCTCCCCATAAGAACTAGCTCTTTCTTTTTCTGTCTGAAATTCAGCACTATTTGTCTTGCAAAAAGTGTGGTCCGTCCAGTGTGTTTATAAGGGATTGTTTCAATTGTTTTGTGAGCTTAATCAAGTTTATGTTTAATGCCCAGTTGCTATTTTCAGTTTTCTTGCGTACCTAGTTGTTCCCAGATTGTGCTTTATTCATACTTAGAGTAATTCTTGATAGTAAGTTTCTTTCAGGTACAAAGATATAACTTCTTGCAGTTAGTGTATGTGTTATGAATTAAAATCATATTTAAAACAAAATAAAATATAAACACGGTGCCAAATGGGGAATGGAGGACCTCAACCCAGTCCAGCCCAGCCCTGTCCCTACCTAAGCAGGGATGGGGAAGAGAAATCCCCTGGCAGGCTAGGGGACGTGGAGGGCATCCCTGGCCCTGCTCTTCCTCATTACCATTCCTGTCGGAAGTACAAAAATCAAAAGAAGCACTATAAACGCCTTGGCAGAATATTCACATTTTAAGTAGATATAGACAATATATGAATGCATAGCCTGTCTAAGGCTAGAAAGGAGAGAGGGGGGTGGGGGGGTGAAATGAAATAGTAAGGGAAGAGAAAACGTCACCGCAACAGAAGTACTGATAAAGCGTATAACTAGCTGGTTATATTTTATATAACAAGGAGGAAACTGAAGTAACAAAGGGTTAACAATTATGCTCTAGAGAGATGAACTGCAAATTAATTAAGAGACCAAGAAGTGACAGCATTTTAATTCAATGTAATCCAATAATGTCAGAAACTAAACCCAATTACTACTCTGCAAAAAATTTAGATCATATTCTATACTATTATGTATATGGAAGGCATAAAAACTTAAAAGTTATCAACATTCATAGAGGTTGTACAAGCCATAGTGCATAAAAATTGGATTTTTCTCAGTGATGTCTTCTAGAATGAGATCAAGTGAATAAGAGAGAAGTAGAACAATTACGAAGGCAGAGCTTCTAGTGTGACCATCAATGTAAATAAACACTAACGGGAAAAGGTGGTAAGCTAATTTCCATTTTCAATAGTTCTCTCAACTTCCAAGGCAAAGCAATTTGTAATGGTCATTCAAAATCAAAACTCAAAAATATTCTAGCCTGGCCAAACAATTTTATATTGCATTTAAAACATTGGGCATACAAACAAAACACAAAATAAACCAACTTTTGCTCGTTAAGAAGAAATCCAGAATGTAAAAATGGAAATTAAATAATTAGTCCCTGTTTCTCAACGTCAATATAATCATCCATAATCATTAGGTCCCTCAGCTATTGAAGACCTTTATTGGTTGTTTTTTCTACTCCTTTTCCAACATCCCTTGAATTGAGATGAGTGAATTCTCCAGGAAATTTCAGAGTTAAAAATTTCTAATTTATGTGTACTATTGGACTGAAGAGACCAAATAAAGCACACATACCAAATGTGCAACTAGCATTGCTCATTAGCAAAGACTCAAATGCATATGCACGAAAATATACTGTTTCTAGTATTAATAAGATTCCCCCTTCACCCACCAAATTTTTATTTCTACTAATTTTCACCTCAGTTAGGTAAATTCATTTCACTTTGTTGTCGATTTCTAGTTTCTTCGAAGAACAATATGCACATATACTACACATCAAGCAATCCATTCAAACAAATTTAAGATATTCTAACAAAAAATAAAATAAAATTCATAAACCCTAGCCATAGCTGGTTCACCTTTCAATTCCAAACAGCAGGAGAAATAACCAGAAAATCATAAACCCAACTGAAAACAGAAAAACCCTGAACAGAGAAATCAATTACCTTACCTTTTTCCAATTCTGGACAATTTTAGAATAATCAGAGGCGAACGGGCATTGATGAGGGGGAAACAGAAAGATTCATTTTTCCAGGGAAAGCAGAATTGACTCGGACCAAGCAATAATAGTTATACCAAATACTCACTCAAAAGATGAACAGTGAAGGAGTGAGATCAGTTTTGACTCGACGCGCATCGTAGATTTCCTGCACGTCAGAATGTGTGATAGGCAGCCGTTGGATGTATCAGATCACGTCAATCTTTTTGTTAAATTGATATTTCCAAAACTCGTGTGCAAAATTTTGGATTAGGGTCCGTTTGGTACACATTAATGTAAAAAATAAGAATGAAAAATATAGTTATTACGGGCTTCACAGAAAAGATAGAAAATCAAATATGATTGCTTGATGTGATGGATAATGAATATATTTTTTATTTTAATGAGAAAAAAATGTGAAACAAACGAGAGAGCTAGATATTGTTTTAAAAAAATGAAAAAAAGAATAATAAAATAGAGAGAGAGAGAGAGGCTTCAGGATTAAATACACCGTTGGTTATTGAAAGTTTAGCTAAAGTCCTGTTTGCCATGCTTTTGCTTTTTGTAAAAGAATTTTTGAAGTAAGTTACTTTTGTTTTTACATGAAAACTAATTTTTTTTTTTTAAATTCTAGTTTGAAAGTGATTTTATAGAAAGTAATATTAGACAAAATTTCTCTGACGATTTTTCTAGTTAGAAGAAACATTTTTATAAAATTAGCCATACGAGTCCAAAATTAACTTTTGAGTTTCAAAAGTTCATTTTGACTTTTCAAAAGAAATGTGAAATTGGCACTAAATTTTGTTTTAATCGCAATTATTTTATTTTAAGTTGGTCACTAAACTTAATTTTCAATTTTAATTTGGTTACATTGACCATGCCCATTAGTGTGAAGTAATTTGATTTAACCCTTGTTTGAGCCCCATTTGGAAGGAAAGAATGAATTTTGAATAATAAATTGATAGAGAATGGATGGTTAAAAAATTTTTTAAAAAAAAAGTATTAACTTTGTATTTAATATTATTTAACT